GGCAGTCTTTGGTCTCCACCCTGAGAAATCCCCGAGGCCTGATGGTTTCCCCATCCTCTTCTTCCAAAAATTTTGGCATATTGTTCAAGAGGATGTTACTGATTTCATTCAAGGTTTATACTCCAAACCTCATCTGTTAGATAACATCAATTTCTCCCATATTTGTCTTATCCCCAAGAAAGAGGGTGCCCTCTCACCCAAAGACTTTCGGCCTATTAGTCTCATAAACAGTTCATGTAAGATTTTCTCCAAGATTCTGGCAAACAGACTCAGAAAAGTCCTTCACCTCCTTATTGACAATTCCCAATCAGCTTTCCAACATGGTAAATCATCCCTAGATTCCTTTCTTCTAGGCCATGAGATGATTAACTTCTGTTCCTCGGGGAAAAAGGAGATTTGTGCTTTTAAGGTGGATTTCTATAAGGCTTTCGACTGTGTCAATTGGTCCTTCCTTCAGTCTCTTCTTAAAGCTAGAGGATTTGGCCCTAAGTGGTGCCTTTGGATCCATAATATCCTATCCTCCTCCAAATCTGCTGTTTTAGTTAACGGCTCCCCCACCAATTTCTTCCGATGCTATAGGGGTCTCAAGCAAGGCGATCCACTTTCCCCTCTGCTGTTCTTATTGGTGGCTGATGTACTTAGTAAAATGCTTTCCTGTAGTGCTCAATCGGGTGACCTATCTGATCTAAATCTGAAAGGGGAGTTAAACAACATCAGGTCAATTCAGTTTGCAGACGATACCATTATTTTCTCAAGGGCTACCCACACTGACATGGTTACTCTTAAATCAATCCTCTCCATCTTCGCAAATATTTCTGGCCTGCGTGTTAACCCCCACAAATCAAACCTTTTTTATCTTGGTAAAACTCCTCTCAAAGGCAAAATGCTAGCGGAGATCCTTAACTGTGTAGTTGGCACCTTCCCTTTCTCCTACTTGGGTCTCCCTCTCAAAAGAGGATCTCTTGCCAAAAGAGATTGGCAACCTCTTTTAGAATCCTTCAATAAGAAGCTTTCACTTTGGAAAAACAAATCTCTCTCAATTGGTGGAAGGTTAACCCTCCTTAATTCTGTTCTATCTTCTCTCCCTCTCTATTACATGTCTTTTTTTAAGTTGCCACAGTGGCTTATAAAGGCCATCGACAAAATCAAAAGAAACTTTCTATGGAATGGTAGCTTCTCTCATTCGCGTATTAAATGCTTAATCAGTTTGAGGAAAGTATGTAAGCCAAAAGCCGAAGGAGGTCTGGGGGTTCTTGACATAGATACTTTCAATAGAGCCCTCCTATCTAAATGGCTGTGGAGACTCTTCGAAAGAAATTCCATCATTAGTAAAGTGGTTTTCTCAATCTATTCCAAAGATGGCTCAAACCCTTTTGCTCATCCCCCTAAGTGCTCGGCATCAAGGTTCTTTCAAGACTTATTCTCCATCAAATCCACCTTTTTCAGCTTGGTTAAATGGAATATTGGGGATGGTAAAACTGGAAGTTTTTGGCATGATAAATGGTCTGCGGCTAACTCCCTAAGTAGCCTGTTTCCAAAAGCTTACCGGTTAGCCCTATCTCAGCTCTGTTGCATCAGATCCCAGGGCAGAAAGATTAACCACTCATGGACCTGGCATCCTCTTACAAGAAGAGGTATATCGCCACCTGAAAGGTCAGATCTAAACCTTCTCCTTACTCATTTAAATTCTTCCAATATCAATATATCCTCTGCTCCAGATGAGCTTCAGTGGACTCTTCATCCATCGGGGGATTACTCAGTTAAATCACTCTACTCTCTTGTTATCTCAGGGGGTATTAGATCCAAATTTCATCACATGATTTGGAAATCCCCCATCCCTAACAAGGTTAAAGTTCTTTTTTGGATCATCACAAATAAGAAGTTAAATACGAAGGCAAATTTGATATAACAAGGTTAAAGTTCTTTTTTGGATCATCACAAATAAGAAGTTAAATACGAAGGCAAATTTGATAATTAAGGGATGGACAGGTGATCCAAGATGCTCTTTCTGTTTATCTGGTGTTGAAACTCACGATCATCTATTTATCAATTGCCCATTTGCTCAAGAAATTTGGTCTCATATCTTCCCCTCTATTCCCAAAAGCAGCTGGCCTCATACAGTTGATGAGTTGATACTTTTCCATAAGTCCACCTCTCTTAGCAAGGATGCTAAAATCATTTGGAAGATTCTGTTGCCATGTGTCTGCTGGTGGATATGGTTTAGTAGAAATGTACTCATTTTTAAGGAAGAGCAACCTGATCCTCTACAAACTGCTGCTAACATAGGGAGATATACTGTATTTTGGACAGGTGCAGCTGACGAGAGGTTGGAAAGAAGGCTTCGCAGGGCCGCCATGAGCATGGGACTCCAGGAGCTTGCAAACAAGAGTGTTGACGCATCTGGGGACAGCTTCCCCTACGACATCTAACCCTTTATCCTTTCACCTTCTGCTGGTGAAGTTCCACCATCTCCTGTTTTGTGTTCGTTTGATGTCAGTGTCACAGACTAAGTTGTTTATGTTTCAAACGTATGTGTTTAGTGAACTCTAGTCAGTAAGTTATGTTTTATGTGCTGTCTAGATGAAGTTCCACTGCGGGTCAAGTTTGGTAGGTGACGACATAGGTCCGCTCCTTACCTGCTTCACCCAAAGCGGCCCTTCATTTAGTTGTGTAATTTTTCGACTATAAATAAAATCTCTACATGAGCAGGGCTTCTTACCCTGCTTTTTCAGTTCAAAAAAAAATTCTCACATTTTTGTATCTCGCGGTATAATAGCAATATACAACTTGAATTAACTATATATCATTGGTGCATACTCAACGAAGTTAAATAGTTACTTAAAAATATTAATTAATTAACTTGTTTTATGGAGAAGGAGCTTTGCTACAAGAACGCAGAATATGGGACCAACATGGGGGACATGATGATGACCAGCTCATTATACAATAGGAGAAGGATACCTCACATGTTCCCCTGTTAGTTCCATATTTCGGGTCCCTGTAGCAAAGCTCTCCTCTTTGGTCCCTTTCCATAAGATAAGACGTCACGTTGGCAATGGTAAAAACACGCATGGATCCATATGCACACCTCATTCAAATACATAACCCTCCAAAATCATTAGTCACAACTTGCAATAAAAGTAGCATACAGCCCAAACAAAAGTGCAGCAATCTTTAGGATGACATAAGCATTAATATCCCTTAGGAAATCTAGCTTGGCCAACAAAGGAGCATAGAAATCACTGCACCACACAAAATTAAACAACTCTTAAAAGATAGCCACAAAAAAGGAATGAGCAAAAGCCGAAGAGTAATTATCACATACCCCTAGGTGTAGTGATATATTTCCTTTTGTCTATCATGTGACTAATTCAGCTCTAAAATGTTTCAAATTACCAATTTTTCCAGTGATGAGATATTGACTACAAATATCTAAATATCTAATACTGCCTTAATTAGATGATGGAAAGTTACAAATTGTAATGATAAAAAATGTGTAGTTATGAAGTGAGATTAGCTCAGATAGCATCATCAGTTTCTTTTATTGTGAAAGATAAAGAAATGAAATTTCATGTTTCATAAAGGTCACAAGAAAGCATCCGATGAGGACGACTCATGGCATTAAATGTACAGTCAAATGATAGCAACCGTTGGATCATTAGATTTCAAGATTTGTATCCATTGATGATCCAATGGTTGACATCATTTAAATGCAAATTGATCTAATAGTTGACATTATTTGGGTGCACATTTAATGCCCATGAACAGACACACTTGATACTTTTTGGAAGGCCACAGTTAAAAATGTAAATTTTTTGTGTAGCTATAATACGTCCATGGTAGCTTTTTAAAAAAGCAAGGTAGTTATTGAATTTACAATCAATAGAGAGAAGAGAACCAGAGATAGCATTCAGGGAATTAGCAGGAAACAAATATGAAAAATATGCAACTTAGAAGTGGAGATAACTCTCAAAACAAAACTAAATGAAAGAATAAGATTCATGTAGCTGACTTGTTAAAGCATATGTTGTAGTTATGCAATTTCATGATAATTTTCTTTAAAACGACCTCTAGATAGTTTCTTGAAGCTCAGCCAAAACTACCTTCAATAGTATTTAATCACATAACTTACATTAACAAGGCAGCCTTTTACTTAAATCAATGATCAACTAAGTAATAATGTTTTTAGAATCACAAGGGGAAAAAATCAAGAGGAGACCCACTTGCTCTAAGGACAAAATACACAGCTAAATATATTATCCCATTACAGAACAACTATGAAGGGGATAAGGTTGAAGTGAGACCAAGTTGTCTATCAAATATCCAGCTAACACCTGAACATTCAAAAAAAATTATTGCCTTATCTCTTGTCAAGGACAGAGTTAGGGTGTCATGCATTTTGATCAACTCAGTCTCTCTTCCCTTCACAATAAACCAAAGAAATAGGGACCTCTGACTCTATTTATCTCCCTTAAGACTGGAACCTTGAGAAAACAGCATACGTTGCTGTCTACTTCGTATTTTCATTCATTCCCCTAACAAAATACCAGTCAATGTTAGCACGCAAAGTTGTTGACGTCAGGTTTACCCGCTCTTGAAATGACCACCGAACGTTGACAGAAACATAAATACCCAAAAAAAAGTTCCTTACTTGAACTTATAATATACCTAAGTAATTTTTGTTAACCAATAGATTCACACTGCACTAATATATATTTTATTAATTTGTCGCCAAAATATTTGAAACATCCCCATGAGTCATAATAATACTACTAATAATAATAATATCTAAATATCATTTTTGGTTCTATTTGACTCATAAATGTGTACTTACTGGATTACCACAAAATGAAAGCTAATGCTAGGCTTCTTCAATACCGTGCGTCAATAAGATGTAGTTTTGGTTTACTTAAGGAAGAGAGTGAGCAGTCCAGCATAAAATAGTGAGGCTTGAAAGATCTTATATTTCTTCATTTCATGTTAATTCAATGAACCAACTATGCATATAATCCTCTCAAACTTGGTATTTATCAACTTCATGTTATTCGACAAACCAGGCTATATTTGACTGAACCACGTTCATGTTGTCCGTGTTCATAGCTACATCCATCGTCCATCATCATTCTTCATGGTTATATTCATCGTTCTTGTTCATCGTTCATCACAATTCTTCATAAACATATTCATTGTCCTCATACATAGCTATATCTTCATAGTTACATCCATCATCCTTCTTCGTAGTTATATATATGTTTATCGTCCTTCGTCATAGCTATACTGATCCAAGAAACTACACCACATCCCCATTTACTCCAACATTTTATCCAACAACAATGAGACTACCATGAACCCAAGCTTATAATCTTGTTCTTCACAGCACCGAAGTACTAGCATTGAAAGAAATACAAACATCTCTCGTTACTTATTATCATACCATTCAATTCGTAACATTTGAGGGCACACAAACTCAGTACTTGGAAGTAAAAAATACAACATTACACAAGCAACTGAATTAAACAACACACGAGATAACATATGTTACCTATATATATATAGAGTTCCCATTACATCACGTTCAGGCCGAGGCCTCTCTGGTTCTCCTCGTTCTCCTGAAACAAGTGAAAACAAAGCAAGAAAAACACAAACTCTTCTTCAATAAAGGAAACATAGAATTAGATTGTTGAATACAAATAATTGCTTACATTGAGACTATATATACATAAAACCCAAGACTTCGATGTCTCAGTACACGCTGCCCTCCATTGGCAAATCCTCAAAGCTCCACAGACCCATCTCATCCTGAGACACTTCATCGTTGAGGAGATTGTCAACTTCATTGTTGAGGAGATTGTCGACTGACTCGTCTGAACTCCCCTCAAGATAAGGAACCTGCAGGAACTTCATGTATGATTCAAAGGCATTAAGCTCTTCAGAGAGCTCCATTGCAGTAGCATTATTATCCCCGACAGCTAATTCATTAGCTTCTGAAGGCAAAACAACTGGAACCTTCTCTTCGAAGAAATCGAAACCTGAGTATACATCAAGCTCAGGGGTATTCAGATACCCAAAGTCCATGTTAGGGCTAGGATTGGAGTTTTCTAAGGATCTTGGTTTAATGGGTTTCTTTGATGCTTCCTCAGGAAAGTTGACCTTGGCTTTCTTGCCACGGATCCTACGAGCTTCAGCATCGTAGGCTCTTGCAGCTTCTTCGGCTGTGTTGAACGTCCCCAGCCAGACTCTGACTCCTTTGCGAGGGTCTCTGATCTCAGCTGCCCATTTTCCCCACGGACGCTGGCGAATTCCTCGGTATTGGTTCTTGCGCTTTCTCTTCGAAGAGTGGTTCGCTGGTTCATCGAGATTTATAGATTTCTTAGCAGTTGATCCATCTGCAATATAGAGGGATGTTGAAGTATTAGATTCAGAGTTAATGTTGGAAATTAGATTATATTTTAATAAAAGAACAAAATTCATACATCAAACAACAACCAGATGTGATAATAATTTGACAGGTTCATCAAGCTATATAGGTTTCTTAGCAATTATTGTAAGAAGGAAGTATATCTGCCTATTTATTCCAAGGATCTCTACCTCTGTATAGGTAATGGTGAAATCAGATTAAAAAATTAGTAATTAAATAACAAAACCTATAAATCAAACGGGTATTTGATCTCCAATCACAGGAACCTAATGACCTGGTGAAACAAATTCAAGCGTCACTCAGTAACCCAAAAGAAACATCTCCCATGAATCATAGAACCCAAAATATATCACTCGTATCGTATTCGGAAGGTTATTAATTAAATGGTAAAACCCATAACAATTTGATCTCCAATCAAGAACCAAATTACCCAGTGCAACAAATTCAAGTGTTGCTCAGTAACCCACAAGAGAAATATCTCCCATGAATCATTCGACCCTAAACTTTGCGAGGTAAAAACACCCAAATCCATATAGACAAAAGAAAAATAGTTATTTCTTCATTTTGTCACCTAAAGATCATTATAAAAAAAACCAATGTTCTACCTCAAATCACAACTATAATAAAACAGCACAAAGACCAACTATAGAATAACCCAAGAGAACCACTTCCCACGGAATCACATACCCTAATAATTTTGTGAGTTACAAAGTAAAACACCCAAATCAAAATAGACACAATAAAAAAATTGATCTTCTCTCCTTTTGGCACCTTAAAATCCTATTAAAAGTCCAATTTTCAACCTTAAACCCCTGCGAACTATAATAAAACAGCATAAAGATCTGATCTTTAACTAAAATTACAACTTGGTACCACGAGATAGGGCAGTTTTGACCCCGAAAGAAATGACAAAACCCATGAAACAAATTGGAGCCAGTTGCAATAACAATTTGATCTCCAACCTCAAGAATCAAATTTAGCTAGTTAAAGGGAATTAATTGTTACGCTAACCAAAAATTTGTCAAAAATTGCAAAATAAGAGCACTCAAATCAAAATATACACAAAGATTAGACCTTTCCTCATCCTAGCACCTTGAAAGCCTACAAAAAAATATATCAACCATGATAAGCATCAAAATTTAACTAAAATTCGATGTGGGTACCTCGAGATAAGCTAGATTTAGCCCGAAACTGAAAGGGCTTGACATCAATCACCTCAGATTGTTCCTCCTCAGACTCCTCATCTTTGAACTCATTGAAGTCAGCTTCAAAATCATCCTCGGTATCAAATCTGCTGCTACTCTTCTTGCTCTTCTCAAGACTAGGCCATAAGTAATCAGCAGTCAGCTTTATTGATCTCGATGAGGGTATGAAATCGGAGATTATTGCTCCTCCACACATATTTGATTGAGTTGGCAGTCAAAGATCTCAACTTGTTTTCTTTTTCTTTTGATTTTTTTTGGGCGGAAATGAAGAGAAATTTATTGAATAAAGTAGAAGGCTTCGGTTTCTTCATCGAGGTAGGAGGGTGTGGGTGGCTTTTTATTGAGAAAGATGGGTAAAGTTGGTAGGGATTATGTGAAATTTGTATGTAAGTCCTTGAACCTAGAGCATTTGCAAAGGCATTTTTTCGTACTGACCGTATTAGAGAAAAAGGGGTTTTTTTTTAATACTAGTCCCTTATATCTTTCCTATTTTTCTAAATTAATCCCTCAGGTCATTAAAATTACTACGCGGCCCTCCATGTTTAGGCTATCTTAGCAGACCTAACCGTTCAAATTGCTATTAGGACTCCCAACTCTCTTGAGTTGCTTCAAATTAGTTCCCCTAATTGCTACTTCTATTCTTGATTGGAATGGCAAATTGCAAGATAACTTAATAATTAGGGGGACCGAATAACAATTTAAATAGTTTGAGGAACTACTTTCAAAATATCTAACAGTTTCGTCAATTTGAGGGACTAATTTTACAATATAAAAGGTGTTTAGGGATTAGTATTGAAAAAATCCTAGAGAAAATATTACTATATATTCACTTAGTTATGAATTATCATCAATCTTAAACTCTGCCCATGTGATTTCATACCCCCCCACCCCACAATCTGATAAACTAATCATTGGTAGCAAGCATTATATATCATGATTGGAATAGTAAGCATGAGTGTGTGTTGTTTTAATCGAGTTAAGAGGAAAATAGAGAGACAATAGTTGGAATTATCATGTTCTCTTTAGTCGAGAACAATAAGATTGCATGTGCACTGATCTGATAGGATAAATATTTGGTCGAACAAAAACAAAAAATAAGAAGAAAAACCACAAAATAGTTTTATATATTTCAATTCAAAAATATTTCTCTTCCATTAGATATTGGTAAAATTACACAATGACAATGTTATCTGTGTAGTGGTTTTGATTTTTTATTTGCAACCATGCAAAATAAATACATCGGTGTGTTTGTTCTCACTTCAACGCTACATATCACAAATTTTCACCCAAATACTGTTGATTTATAACATGTAAATGTAGGCGTCTAAAAATCCCTATAGGTGTCCACACACAGCTTGAGACGGAGAGAAGATGACGAACGTCGTTATCCGAGTCTAAGAGGATTATCTGATGTTAACAAGTGCATGTGGCGAACCAACTGTGTCTCGTGCGCTCACCGGCCACCTCTAATTGGCCGTCACACCTGTCGGTCAAGTACGCGCGCATCGGTCAAATCCAAAGTGTCCGCCGCCCTTGTCGGTCGGGTCCAAAGTGCCCGACGCGCTTGTCAGTCAGATTCAAAGTGCCCGACGCGCTTGTCGATCAGCTCCGAATATCGTAAAGAAGCTAACGAGTGCATGAAGTAAGTTAGCGAAACGTACAAGTCAACAAGACAACCAAATACACAAAACGAAAAAGACAGAACGAATGCCCAAGTACCGAGGCCTGTCGCGCTGTTTTGATCCCCAAACGCGTTTTCGACGGTTTTAAGCGGTTTTCTCAGGATTTATCTATTCCAGGGGTTCCCAACTGACTTAATATCATGCACAAACGTGGGTAGGCCGTTATTGACTGAAGATAAGGCCAAATCACTCATTCTTATCCAACTACCCCAACCGAAGCCTATAAATACAGGCCTAGGGGCTCATTTCACAAGGGGAGAAAAAGAGGGCGAAACGATGTCGAATTGGAGAGTGGAGCCACGAATTTACAACGAGGATTAGCAGATCTTAGCGAGTTCCTGTGCATAAAGAGTGGAGTTCGAGAGATCTGATACTCGTCCCCTATTCCTCCGGATTTAAGCTTAGTCTTAATCTCGAGAAGAGCCGTAATCTCGTTTGGTCGGGATTATCGCTGCAGCGATTATTTCCTTCGTGAAGTAAGAGCTTTGATTAAATTAATCTGTCAACCGGATCTGATCCGTGACGGTCCACGGATATTAACATCCCCGGCACAGGCGAAGTTCCCACGCAAGCAGTGGATGATAAACGTCTATTACGCTGTTTGACAAGAGTTGTACTATTTTACAGTTTCATTGTATAAGTCGATCTTTTAAAAAGATCTACTTTTCTCGTTTATTTGAGTTTATTGTAACGACCAAAGTTGTAATAGATTCGATGACAATAAAAATATCAACTTTTGACCCAAACAGTAAATTATAAGGAAAAAACTTCAATTATCCTAATTTTTCACCATATCTAAAGTCTTCTACGCCAGAACATTTAACTCAAATGTGGCACATCATTGCAACGAAAACTGATCAATGTTGCGAAATTTAGGATGCAGTATAAATATCCCCATAAATATCAATGTCGAATGCAGTGCTGCCAAATTTTAATCAAAAAATAAAATGTAGTATAGAGAACAAATTACTGGGTATTTGTTGGGAATATACAAATATACCCCACATAAATAGCATAATTACACGTATGCCTCGTTGTGCAAAATCATACTCCCTTTAAAAGCACGAGTTCGGAAAAATCTTTCGTTAGAGACAAAAATACCCTTGAAATTCAAATATTATTCCATCAAATAAGAGTAAGTTGATAAATTAATGAATTCTTATTAGATATATATAATATAAAGATAAGGATACAATTTAAATTGAAATGTAATCTAAATAAAATTATTAAATGCCAAATTTACAAATGTCTACAAAATAATGGGTGTATATGCAAAAACCAAATATATTAATGAGACAAATAATGTCTACCCCAAAGGTCAAATCCAGGAATAACGTAAACCTACAAATATACATAATGTGGATGTGATATTTATAAAATTCACCAAACAAATTAAAGAAACAACTTTGTTCCAATCAAAGAAACATTATTCATGGAAGATAAAAGAAAAATTACTATGTCATGACTCTACATAAGCAAAAAAATAAAATCATCCTTTTTCTTTTCCTTATATAGTATCACGACCCTGTATATGACTTTATTTAGGGGTATGACTACTAACGAATGATAAATTCTTAAAGACACTGTCAAAGATAATGATGTAATAGCGTGCACTATTAGAATTCGAGATCTCTAAATATGTGTAGTATTTTTCATTACTGAAATTCTTATTAAAAGTCACTAAATATAAAATTCACCTTATATATGTCTCAAATTTATAGAGGAGATAAGCATATCATCGTAAATTGCGTTAATAATATATATCAAGTCAAAGATACCACTTACTAAAGAAATGAGAGAATAATAAGTAAACCAAGCAAACATCCATATAACAGCGTAAAAAAAAAATTATATTTTAAAGCTAATATGTTGCACTCTTTTTGAGTAAGTTGTCAAGACAAAAGCATTTCCATTAAGGCTCTTTATAAATGCAGCAGAAATTCAAATTACTAATATATACAACCATTATAACATTCGAAATAGGTATGATCTTGAAAAACATTCTCTAAAATTCATACAATTAAAATCTAAGAATAATTTACCAATATATAGACACACTATTGCACATTTAAGGTAACGATAACTACCATTTATAATAGAGTTGAGCAGTGGTTCTATGTTTGCAAAGATTATAATAAGAAAGTGGATAGAGATATTAATAATAAGTGTCCAGATGATAAATTTTGTAGAATCACCGATGATGTATTACCAAGGTTAAGTGATATCCCTTCTTCATAAAATAAATATATAAAAATTAAATATTAATATTATAATATAAAACAAATTGATAATGAAATCTGTAATGTATTTAGTTCAGATCCTCATAAAAAATGACACAGATAGATTAAAGGTAACATTTAATGAAATCTGTAATGTATTTAGTTCAGATCCTCATAAAAAATGACACAGATAGATTAAAGGTAACATTATTACACAACATAAATTCTTATTGGATAGATCCTCATAAAAAATGACACAGATAGATTAAAGGTAACATTATTACACAACATAAATTCTTATTGGATGCACAACAGAAAAATTAATTACAGAGAAAAAAGGTAGCGCCTTACTTATTTAAGTAATAAATTAGAAGCACAAAAAATTTCATATGTATGAAATTAACATTTATTATTATTGAAATAGGAAAAAATCAAAGTCCGTATTGTCAGAAGTTTGTGATGAACATAAGAATTATATTCAACATCTTTTTGAATTTAGACGAGAAGACAAAAGATGAATGAGCCCAAGATAACATGCTCCAGTCACATATCACAATCGATGTAGACGATGAAGACACTACTCTAGAATTGCCTAGAAAAAAGATAAAGATGAAGAAGAATTGATCTCGACTCAATAAAAAATAAAATAGAAGCAACAAAAGATAATGTTTCGTGAATTGTTATAGAATAGTTTTATTTTTTTAGTAAAATTAGGAATCTTTAGAATGGATTTTTATAAACTATTTTTAGTGCTTTCATATGCATATATGGATGCTTTTATCATATAAAAAAAATACTAGAGTTAGCATTAATCTCCAGTTTATGAATTTTTTCATTAACTATTTTCTATCATTTTAGCCCACTTTAAATCAATCATCTTGGCTCGTTGGTTTTATTATTCATCTTCCTTTTATAATGTTATTTTTCAAGTGTTTTCACTTTCATAACACTATACTTCCTCAAGTCAAGCTTGGTTTTATGCCAATCCAAATGAAATGAAAATTGATTTGGCTTTATATTATATTTATCTCCTGACAATTAAACTATCAATATAAAAATTTAAACTGAGTGTAGCCTATTCAAACAAACATCAAATAAATAAATAATCAAAGTATAATCAAGAAATAAATTTTAGTAAGAAAATAAACCAAAAATACTAAATCAAAGTGAGCAAAAATTATTAAAGAGTAACAGAGAAACAAAATTTAATAAGAAAATAACCCAAAAATACCTAATCACAGTATTTAACCACGTGCAATGCACGTGCATCTAGTATGCCAAATGTAGCAGGCAACAAATCAAAATTTTGTTTGAGTTTACATGGAAGTTTATGAATTAAACCTGTCCTACATCTATATTTACAAATATTTCCTAAAGATTAAGAATTAAACAACTATTCTTTTCCTTAAAATAATTAAAGGA